TGAAGACATCTAACTTGTCTAAGTAATTTTTGACCTGTTCTTTCCCTATTTTAGACTCTGATCCTACCTTCTTTTTTTTTTGGCCAGTGAAAAAGAGTGCAGCACAGATGAGGATCAGTGTAACAATGTGTCTAGTAGTGGTGTCCCTAGACAGAGACTACTTTGATGAATAAATGTTTTCAATCCTATACATCAAGGCTAACTTTCCTAAGAGTATCAATGTCTTTTTTTATTATTATTATTGTAATGCACCCCTGTGTTAAAGTATAATTTTAAAAAGTTTATTTTAAAACATTTTCTAGAATATATAGCTACATAGTTTTTCTAAACTTGTCATGTTTGGTACTACTGTGTTTGTGGGAGACAGGGCTTTTGAATGATACCCAACTTGGCCGATTTCCCATGACACTATTATCAAAATTTCCACCAGCCAGAGGACCTGGAGCTCGGAAGGCAGCGAGTACTGCCTTCCCCACCATACCACTGAGGGTGACAACTGAAATTAAAATTCTGTGTATTTATACAAATTAAATGTCACCCCTCTTACTTTTTGATCACTAATTTGCCCAAGGAATGAGATTTTACTACATCATGTTCCCAGACTAAATATATAAAAGTGCAAATAACATATAGCTGTTAGACTATGTGAAGGATTGCCACTTACAGTGCAAATACTAAAACAATTATACATTGGATTATAAAATTCCTCAGGGCAAAAATTCCATGGTTTCTATGCCTGGAAAAAGCCATTATACTTGAAGGCAAGTAGACCCGGTGCACTCTGCATAACATGAACTCTAATTCTGCAGGAGAGTGATGCTTATTAGAATAGCTCTGAATGCAAGTTGTAGAGTAATAATTAAATTAGATATAAATTATAATTGTTAAGTATTTTACAGGTTACTTTATGCTTTTTTCAAATTTTCAAGAGCACAATTCTGTATGCTCATATGCAAGTGCAGCGTATATGTTGTCAAGCGGAAAACTGGAGGCTTTAGCTTCAGAAAAGGGTAGAAGAGGAGCTGGATATATGGCAGCTGGAAGGAATAAATTTCCTCTTCCTTAACCGCTGGTGGGCAGAGGTTTGTACACATCACGATACAATGATTGCTAGTCATGACTGAAATCAGGACTATTAATTCTCAGTAAAGACAAAGTTTTGAAGTTGTTCAGAGAGGGATTGGATGTTTATGTATAAGCAGAATTTCCAGAATTATAACAGTTAATGTTAAAAAGGTTTGGGGAGGGACATAAAATCCTCATACTTTAGGTTCTGCAACCAATCCCTACCTATTAGGGATTATGAGGAGACTTTACCAGGCATCTAGATTATTCCACATCTGCCTACTGGGGGGTTTCTTGCACCTTCTCTGAAGAATCTGGTGATGGCCATTTTTGGAGACAATCAAGGTCTGCTCCAATATGACAATTCCCATGTTCTGGGCTTTAGCATTACCACACTGAGATGAAGGAGTGTGGTTCATACCTCTCAGATCTGTTATTTCATGATATCTCAGGACAAAGGAATACAATTTCAGTAGAACCTCAGTTATAAACACCTCAGAAGTGGAGGTTCTTCATAACTCTGAACAAAACGTTATGGTTGTTCTTTCAAAAGTTTACAACTGAATATTGACTTAATGCCGCTTTGAAACTTTACTAAGCATTTTTCTTCTGCAGCTTTCCCTTTATTTTTTTTTTAGTAGTTTAAGTTTAACACAGTACTGTACTGTATTTGGTTGGGGGTTTTTTCGTCTCTGTTGCTGCCTGATTATGTACATCTGGTTTCAAATGAGGTGTGTGTTTGACTGGTCAGTTCGTAACTCTGGTGTTCATAACTCTGAGGTTCTACTGTATGCACTATTTTACATATGGGATGTTCTTGTAAATGTAAGGTATGAAGTTAAGCCTAAATTTCTTTCAACAAAATTCTGTATCTGGGGTAGATTCCACAGTCACAGAATCATGGAAGACTCAGCCCTCACAAATAACCAAAGTTCTACTGTCCAAAAGTCTACACACACACAAAAATTGGGAAATGTAAATAGATTGAATGTGTTAATGTCACAAATTAAAGAAAAGCCTTTACCTTGATAGAGATATGCAAGAATTCAAAATAAATTAATAAAATAATAGTAAAAGGAGTGTTTTACCTGTCTTTTGTCCTTTTTTTATTCCAAGCTCCACGTGTGGAAACACTCTTTGTAGGGCTCCTAGAATTCTGTGAAGTGTTTTTTCAAGCAGTGGTTTCGAAATGGCTGAGAGTGCTTGGCCAGGTGAAGTCACAGCTCTTTGAGAAGCTGGTATAGTCTTCTGCATAGCCACAACAAAATCCTTAGCTGTTATTTTAATAGAAGAGATATCCAACTGCAACTTCTCACTGCTAGTGTATATCTGAGGATAACGTCGGCGCAAAGCACACAAAGCAGCTTCAGAACATATGGACTTAATATCTGCACCACAATATCCTATGAACAAATAAGTGAAATTTAGTTCTGTCTCAGACAATCAAAAAAGGTCTAGAAGCAGCATATACAAAGCTAGAGTATGTAACTATCTGGCCCAGCAGGAGATGAAGCCTAACAGAGGCAATTGGCTCGACCTTCTGGGGAAAAAAGGAAGGGATATAGGTAGGAAATGCCTCATTCTCCTATCTGCCCAACTACTCTGCTGGTGGTCTTCTCTGCCTGTGCAAAGCCCCACTGAGGTAAGTGGGGCCCTGAGCAGACTCATTACAAGATTGGGTTCTTAGTGGCCTAGATGGACTTCTAAAAGAGAACTGCATCCAGCTCCCTTTGCCAGAAAAATGGTGAAAGTGTGAGTTTTGTTAAAAATAAATGTCTATCTTCATATAAAAGAAAACCCTAACAATTAGTGGATGAAAAAATCAAAGAAAAATAAGTATTTTAATTAAATAATCTTAGTATTAAGCTTTTAGATGAAAAATTGTTATTTTTATATGTGCTAACCTAGAGGTTAGTCACTTGTATTCTCTGATAACTTTTGGTTCTTAATCTTACCAACACATTTTTCTGCTAACTCTTCAAGAAACGTGTCCAATGGCTTAGGGGTCCAGTCTCTCGTGTGAATCTTGAGAATCTCTTTTCTAGCCTAGAAATAAAGACTTTTTAAAAAAAAGAGCACATCCTGTTTTTCCTGTAAAAATCTTTAGGTTAAAGTAGATGACAATATAATCACCTCTTCTTAAAAAGGAAATGTTGATATATTACTAGAATTTACTTGCCTAAAATAGTGACTGCTGCTTTCAACAAATTTAAGGTTTTAGATGCTTCTTAAATTGGACACACTTCTTTTCAGGCGTTCCTTTTAACAAGCAAAGCCATTGAAAGCTCCCAGGACAAAAAGTGAGTTTTCTTAAGTTTAAGCCTAATGATCTTGGAAGAATTCTCTCCACTTCTAGCTCAGGTTGGTAACGATATATTTTCCCTAAGGAAAATTTCCCAAAATTTATAGAATCACAAGTTCAAGATAATAATATATGGAGATATACCTATCTCATAGAACTGGAAGGGACCCCAAAAGGTCATCAAGTCCAGCCCCCTGCCTTCACTAGCAGGACCAATTACTGATTTTGCCCCAGATCCCTAAGTGGCCCCCTCAAGGATTGAACTCCCAACCCTGGGTTTAGCAGTCCAATGCTCAAACCACTGAGCTATCCCTCCCCCCTCTCTCTGCAATCAGCCCAGCTTTTCCTCTGCCACAGCCCTCTCCCAGGACTGTTTTAAGCCCTTCAGGGCAGGAGCGGGGTAACCACCCCGACAGGGTCCCAACCCAGGGTCCTAAAGGAGTGGTGCACTGTCTGGACCACTTGGTCCTCCCCAAGTTACACTGCCTTACGGATCACTTCCTACTGGGCTGTGGCTCCTCTGTCTGGGACGTGGTCCCAGTCTTAGCAGTACAGTATCAGCACAGTCCACCAGGGAACAATGTCTCCTCCTTTGAGGCCTCTCTTGTGTTCCCAACTGCAAAATGGGGTGGAGAATATGGATCACTGCTTCCACAGTGGCCTTACTAATGCTGTAGTCACTCTTCCCAACAGTTCACAGTGTCAGCCTCACTTCCTGGTACAGCCCGTAGCTCTTTCTCCACCTTGCCTCTGGGCTCCCAATGCCCTTTTAAGCTGTCCCTCCAACTGCAGCATGCCTGGCAGCTGCTAAGGAATGTGGCCTCCCTTGCCCAGTACTGCCCCATGCCTTGCTCTAGGTTAGTATGGGGTCTGTAAACCTCATCATACAGTGAAAGTTGGTTTCAATCTCAAGTGTCATTTACTTTAAAATGATTTTTACCAATACCGATGTTTACTCTAAAAGATCTTAACAGATCATTTCCCCAGGAGTTCTGCTTTACTAAGACAAAATTCAAAGGTTCACAATGCCTTAGAGCCTTGAGTGGCCCAGACAGCTCTGCTCCATAGAATAACTGTGTCACCAGTTCCTTTTTAAAAGGTGGTAACACAGAGAGAAGTAAAAATACAGTAAGCGGAAGATATCATTTCCACATGCCTCAATTGGTAGACTTATAGACACGTGCATCAGGGAAGTAGAGGTGAGACGGACGTACAATTAGGACAAGAACCTTCAAGCCTTCCATCCTTTTGCAGCATGTGGAGGAAAAAATCTGGATTATAGATCTTTGGACCTAGCCATCTACTTCTACAGTGTCAAGCTATCCCCAAATTTATTATAGTGCAACTCCCATTTCCTTAATTTTTATTTTATATGAAACAGAAGACCCTCAGCTTAATGTTTTTGACATCAAGGAGAAGGACTAGCTATTCTGAGTTATTAATATTTAATATTTCAACTCATACTTTTGATTAAACAGCAGGAACATTTTCAGCAAAATGGAACAAAATTTAAAGCTCTTCATCCCAGCTGAATTTGAATGTTTGCCACAGCCCAGTTCAAGTATGTAAGAGAACAAGCACTAAGAATCTACCAACAAAAATGACTATTACACTAGACAACTTCAATCCAATAATGCCAAATAGGTAACCTAATCATATTCTGTGTTGAATCTGAGCTAACCTGCACCTCTTTCCTTGGGTTTCAATTATTTTAGTATGATTAGAAATATCTGTCACTAGGTACCAGGATTAAAAATAAAAAAATAAAAATAAAAAAACAATATCCTTCATATTTTTAAGTGTTTTACAGTAGCTAGCAACAGAGGGTCCTGTGGCACCTTTAAGACTAACAGAAATATTGGGAGCATAAGCTTTCGTGGGTAAGAACCTCACTTCTTCAGATACAGTAGCTAGAAATTATAGAGGAGTAAGGTTAGGGTTAGAACACTGCTGACAGCATGGCTGCAGGAGCACCAAGCACTGCCAGTGGGCCTACGGGTGGCTGCCTGCATGGACATGGAGCCCAAGGTACAGTGGAAGCAGAAACTCCAGGCCAGGACTGAAAGGAAGAGGAGGATGATCATTCAGCTGTGGGGTGCTAATGAACCATTCCTGCCAGGGGACGTCCCCCACAATACTGGCTGGTGAGTGAGTGGGGCCACAATACTTGAGCTGCAGAGGGTTCTTTGCATGGTTATGGGGTTGGTGACACCTAATTCCTGCAAGTGAGAGAAAGGCTGCGATCCTGGTGGGCAGGGCCTGCTCCAGCATTTCTGCCGCCCCAAGCAAAAAAAAAAAAAAAAAAGCCGCGATTGGCGGCGGCAGTTCAGCAGCAGGTCCTTCGCTCCTAGAGGGAGTGAGGGACCTGCCGCCCCCGAATTGCCGCAGGTGCCGCCCCTCTCCCTTGGCCGCCCCAAGCACCTGCTTGTTAAGTTGGTGCCTGGAGCTGGCCCTGCTGGTGGGACAGCGCAGAGACCCAGGGCCAGGGCTGTCACGAGGAAGACAAATCCCCAGCTTCAGGGGAGGCCACCCCACTGCTGAATGGCTCTGTCCCCAGCTGTGTCCCCAGCCAAGAGCCATTCAGCAGTGGGGTGGCCTCCCCTGTGTGGCTGGAGGCTCGTTCTCCTGGCCAGGGTGTCTCTGCTCTGCCACACCAAGACAGCAGCCTTGCCTGCACCTTCCGCCTGCAGGGACTGTGTCACCAGCTGTGCAAGAAGCCCTCTGCAGCCCTGCTGCCATGGGAGTGTGGCTGTGACAATGGAGCTGCAGTGGGCTCTCTGTACTGCTGCAGGGCCACTGACACTAGATTTCTGCAGGTGCAAGGAGGGTCGGGGGAGGTTGCACTCCCACTGACTGTTACCAGTCAATATTTTTTACTGACACACATCAATTACAATAAAATGCTGCCAAGCCTAACCACAGAATGTTAATGATGAATTCAAATGTTTTAGGCAGTGGTACATCGTAGCACTTTAAGCACTGCGCCCAACTTCACCATGTGACTATTCACACACTTAAAAGATAAACGTTTGTTTAAATACATTACTAGATGGGGATTTAAAACACACACACACACACACACACACACACACACACACACACACACACACAAAATCCCAAAAACCTCAAAACAGCAGAACAGATATCCATATCAAAACACAAACTTCAGATTAAAATGAGTCTAGCAGGGTTGCCCACCACCCAGATGTAAATAACACAAATTAAATTTTCACAAATGCAACTTTGAGCCGGGCTAACAATCAGAAGTTTTAAGTAAGATGGAGCACATTTAAAACGTTAATCCAAGGGTGGCTCATAATTAAATGTAGTTATCTGTCACATATAGCATTCTCTCATTTCCAGGTTCTCTCTACTATATACACTGCCATATTTTACTGCTAATTGAAGGCCACTGTAATTGCATCATTAAGTGTCATTATTTGCATGATCAGAGTGGAACTAGTGTTACAAAATTGATGGTCAATGAAAGTGTTTTGTACAAGTGGTGTTTTCAGTATCCTACCTACACTCTACAAGAAACAATATATTACCTCTTTATCACTCAAGTAGTAAAGCACAGAATCCCAACTTCACCATTCCCAAACATCCTTCATTACTCCACAATACACTGTGGCTTATGCTATAAAGAAATAATTTGACACCTTATTGTTAGGGTTGAATCAAAGATTTTACCTCTTTATCTGGCAAGGTGAAAAGAAATTCTCTGTCAAAACGCCCAGGTCTTCGTAAAGCAGGATCTATTGAATCCAGTCTGTTGGTAGCTCCGATTACCACAATTTCTCCTCTGCTATCCAAGCCATCCATAAGTGCCAGTAGCGTAGATACAATAGAACTGATAGAGAAATGCTTTTATTCACTCAGTTAACTAAGCCTATGTTACATTGAGCGTAACCTCTCTTCCCAAGTTTCAATCAAGAGAGGAAAAGCTTTTGTTGCTGGAATTATTTTTTGGTTAGTAAAAGTGTTCAGTCAAGAGTCTTTTATGATGTTCTGTGCAGAACATTCTCCCCCCCCCCCCCCCCGAGATAAGCAAACAAAGACCAAAAACACACCATGATAGAATCAAGTCTTGAACAAGCCTTAGTTTACCTTTTGGATTCAAAAAGCAAAGATTTTACTTGCAATCTAAGTAACAATATGATGCCCTCCCCAAAGAGGGCATGTCTGTACAGACCCTAGCACAATATGAATAGGGCCTCTAGGCATTACTCAATACAAACAATAGTATTACTTGTAATAAGTATACTTTGGTCAAGCCTAACTTGTACAGCAGGAAAGAGTCCTGTGGCACCTTATAGACTAACAGATGTGTTGGAGAATAAGCTGTCGTGGGTGAATACCCACTTCGTCAGACACATGGGACACATGCGTCTGACGAAGTAGGTATTCACCCACAAAAGCTTATGCTCCAACACATCTGTTAGTCTACAAGGTGCCACAGGACTCTGTTGCTTTTTACAGATCCAGACTAACACGGCTACCCCTCTGATACTTATACAGCAGGGAATCCCAAGTTATGCAAATACCCCTCTCCAAGCTCTCTTCCATTTATTGCTGTGCTGGCCTGTATGTCATCCATAGTTATTTTTTAATGTTATTCATTTTTACACTGGCCCAAAGTTTCAATGTATTGCCAATTTCTGTATTAAAAGTGCCAAATGGTAAAGTTGTTGCAGGAAAGCTAGAGGTGTTGACAGCTGGAGCTTTTGGCACCCCAGAAGACCTGGGGCTTGTTTACAGTTAAAAAGCTGTAGCGCTTCAGTGTAGAAACTACCTATGCTAACAGGAGCGATTCTCCCATCAGGGTAGGTAATCCACCTCAAGAGAGGTGGTAGCTAGGTAAGCGGAAGAATTCTTCCTAGTGCTGTCTATATGAGGTGTTAGGTTGTTACGGCTACATGTCTAAGGGGTGAGGATTTTTCACACCCTGAGGGTATGTCTACACTACGAGATTAATTCGAATTTAGATAATTCGAATTTGGGAAACAGATTGTATAAATTCGATTGTGCGCGGCCACACTAAGCACATTAATTCGGTTTTTAACCACATTAATTCGGTGGTGTGCGTCCATGTACCGGGGCTACCGTTGATTTCTGGAGCGTTGCACTGTGGGTAGCTATCCCATAGCTATCCCATAGTTCCCGCAGTCTCCCCTGCCCATTGGAATTCTGGGTTGAGATCCCAGTGCCTGATGGGACCAAAACATTGTCGCTGGTGGTTCTGGGTACAGCCTCACCCCTCCCTCCCTCCCTGCATGAAAGCAACGGACGGCAGACAACCATTTCGCGCCTTTTTTCCTGGGTGAACACTGCAGACTCCATACCACAGCAAGCATGGAGCCCGCTCAGCTCCAGACAGCAGTCATGAACATTGTAAACACCTCGCGCATTCTCGTGGAGTTTATGCTGAGCCTGGACCAGAAAAACGAGGCGAGGAGGCAGCGGCGGCGGGAGCGCAGCGACCAGCGTGATGAGGACATGGACATGGACACGGACACAGAATTCTCTCAAACCACGGGCCCCGGTGCTTTGGAGATCATGTTGTTAATGGGGCAGATTCTAGCCATGCAACGCCGATTCTGGGCAAGGGAAACAAGCACAGACTGGTGGGACCGCATAGTGTTGCAGGTCTGGGACGATTCCCAGTGGCTGCGGAACTTTCGCATGCGTAAGGGCACTTTCATGGAACTTTGTGACTTGCTGTCCCCTGCCCTGAAACGCCAGAATACCAAGATGAGAGCAGCCCTCACAGTTGAGAAGCGAGTGGCGATAGCCCTGTGGAAGCTTGCAACGCCAGACAGCTACCAGTCAGTTGGGAATCAATTTGGAGTGGGCAAATCTACTGTGGGGGCTGCTGTAATGCAAGTAGCCAAAGCAATCATTGAGGTGCTGCTACGAAAGGTAGTGACTCTGGGAAATGTGCAGGTCATAGTGGATGGCTTTGCTGCAATGGGATTCCCTAACTGTGGTGGGGCGATAGATGGAACCCATATCCCTATCTTGGCACCGGAGAACCAGGGCAGCCAGTACGTAAATCGCAAGGGATACTTTTCAATGGTGCTGCAAGCACTGGTGGATCACAAGGGACGTTTCACCAACATCAACGCGGGCTGGCCGGGAAGGGTTCATGATGCTCGCGTCTTCAGGATCACTATTCTGTTTAAAGGGCTGCAGCAAGGGACTTACTTCCCGGACCAGAAAATAACCGTTGGGGATGTTGAAATGCCAATAGTTATTCTTGGGGACCCGGCCTACCCCTTAATGCCATGGCTTATGAAGCCATACACAGGCAGCCTGGACAGGAGTCAGGAGCTGTTTAACTACAGGCTGAGCAAGTGTAGAATGGTGGTAGAATGTGCATTTGGCCGTTTAAAAGGTCGATGGAGATCGCTACTGACTCGCTCTGACCTCAGCCAAAGGAATCTCCCCATTGTTATTTCTGCTTGCTGTGTGCTCCACAATCTCTGTGAGAGTAAGGGGGAGACCTTTATGGCAGGGTGGGAGGCTGAGGCAAATCGCCTGGCTGCTGATTACACGCAGCCAGACACCAGGGAGATTAGAAGAGCACACCAGGAAGCAGTGTGCATCAGAGAAGCTTTAAAAACCAGTTTCATGACTGGCCAAGCTACAGTGTGAAATTTCTGTTTGTTTCTCCTTCATGAAAACCCGCCCCCTTTATTGACTCATTCTCTGTAAGTAACCCACCCTCCCCCTTCCCCCAGCTTGCTTTCAAACCAAATAAAGTCACTATCGTTTAAAAATCATTTATTCTTTATTCATAGATTATAAAAAGAGGGAGGGAACCTGGGTGGGGTTTGGGAGGAGGGAAGGAAAAGGCCACTAAAAAAAGGCTAAAAAAAATGACAGCCTTTTGCTTGGGCTGTCCACTGGGGTGGAATGGGAAGGTGTACGGAGCCTCCCCCCCCGCGTTCTTACACGTCTGGGTGAGGAGGCTATGGAACATGGTGAGGGGGGAGGGGGGTTATACAGGGGCTGTAGCGGCACTCTGTACTCCAGCTGCCGTTCCTGAAGCTCCACCAGACGCCGGAGCATGTCTGTTTGCTCTCGCAGTAGCCCCAGCGTTGCTTCCCGACTCCTCTGATCTTCCTGCCGCCACCTCTCATCTCGAGCGTCTCTCCTGTCCTCACGTTGGTCCCTCCTGTCCTCACGTTGGTCCCTCCTGTCCTCACGTT